CCGGGGCCTCCTCCCGGTGGGACATGCCTGGAACACCTTCCTAGGAAGGCGCCCAGGAGGCATCCGAAAGAGATGCCCGAGCCACCTCAGCTGGCTCCTCTCGATGTGGAGGAGCAGCGGTTCTACTCTGAGCTCCTCCCGGGTGACTGAGCTCCTCACCCTATCTCTAAGGGTGGACCCGGCCGCCCTGCGGAGAAAGCTCATTTCGGCCGCCTGTATCCGGGATCTTGCCCTTTCGGTCATGACCCAAAGTTCATGACCATAGGTGAGAGTTGGAACGTAGATTGACCAGTAAATCGAGAGCTTCGCCTTACAGCTCAGCTCCTTCTTCACCACGACGGACTGGTACATCGACCGCATTACTGCAGAAGCTGCACCGATCCGCCTGTTGCTTTCCTAAAAGGTGCAATATACAGTTCCATCCCGGTACTTTTATACCGGGATGGAACTGTCCTTTAGAAATAGGAGAGTATCACACTGCTTTCACCAAACACCTCCTCATGCCCAAGGTTATAACCTGTAGGCTATATTTAGTTAATGATTTGCTCTCAGCTATGCTTATAAAAGCTTACCCTCATTTGCCTGCATTATACTTCAGACAGAAGACCCCCTGGCCAACCGTTCCATCCTCTACCAGATGGTGGCGCTGTATGACTATGCTGCTCAGGGCCCAGAGGACCTGGAGTTCAGCGAAGGAAACACCATTGACATCCTGGGTGAAGGTAAGTGTCAGGGACCAAGCAGTAAGGCAAAGGATACAGCTTTGAAATTTCAAAAAAGTTGTGCTTTTTATTCATCCCAAAATTTTTAAAAAGTACAAAGCAACATCATTTTGAAATTAATTGGTCCCTAAAAGAGGTCAACAAAACATAAGGAAACTCAGAATACAGCAAACTGAACTGTAACAGAACTGCATAAAACCTCAGCTAACAAAGTTAATTAACACAAAATTTACAAAGAATTACAAATATGCATGTTTCATTGCTGGGTTATGTCTAAACAATAAACCTAACATTATATCAAATGTATTGCTATTAACTGGATAGTGTCTGCCTGTAAATTATAAGCCCACATGCATGAACAAAAGAAAACTACTGTAAGTGAAACAAATGGGTGAGTGAAACATTACCAAATGACTTCAACTGCTGCTGGTGGCTGAGACTGAGACCATCATAGTAAGGCTCTGTAGGTCAGCCTCATCCTGAACTGCTTTTCAGTGAAATCATAAAAATGTTTTTGTCTTTGTTGGGCATTTCCATCTGAAAAGTTCTCACACTGCTTGATTCTCTGTTCAGATGTGAGTCTCACTGCCTCTTTATGTTTCTCTCTCATGCTGTCTTCTAGTTAATGAGGAGTGGTTGGAGGGACACTGTGCAGGAAATATTGGCATCTTCCCAGCCTGCTTTGCCTACAGGGAGAACCCCAACATCACAAAGGGCCTTGAGTTGTAAAAGCCAATAAACCTGTTACCCTGTGAATGGTGGCTGCATACAGCCTCACAACAACCAGACATCACCCTTACAGGGACATACAGTCCAATCACTGCTGACTTTATCATTCTTTAAATATTTCTGTCTCAAATGGTATCACTGTAATGTTAGCATAGTAGAGTATGTTAATAGTACTGTAGAGTATATTTATACTAAGCTTGTTGTTCCTGTTTACTGTCCTACAGTATTACTACACTGTCCCTGTTGGATCCTGTAATATTCAAATATCCAGTATTGTCCATATTATGTTCTTGTAATATTTCTACAAGGTTATCCTCATCTGGCAACACTAAAAAGTGTGATAATTTTTCATACAGTGCCACAGGGACTAATATTTTAAAGCAGTGTGATATATTTTCTTAGAGTGTCCTTAAATAATTAGCTGAACAAATAAAATATAGCATTCCAAATACATTCATGACATGAATACTGGGAAGCATTACAGATATAAGGAAATAAAGACCCAGAGACTACTGAACAATTGTTAGGTTAATCTTTCTACAACAATTTTTCTCAAAAACCGAGGACCAGGATGAAAAGGTCAGCAGTGAGGGAGGCTACCAAGACATCCACAGCAGCTTTGAAGGTACAGCCTTATGGGACTCCGGACAAACTATGCACACTGCAACAGTAGACCTGGAACGTCACAGCTTGATAAGAGAGGGTTAAAACCAAAGTGATTCAAAGGTTTTTTCTCATGCTTGTGCAGACTGTCCACAAAAAGCTGCCCGTGAATTTGCTGTCAGAATGCCCCGATTTGACAGGCCAAACTCCATCCATCCAACCATTATCTATATCGCCTATCCTGAATAGGGTCGTGGGGGGCTGGAGCCAATCCCAGCTGACATTGGGTGAGAGGTGGGGTCCACCCTGGACAGGTCACCAGTCTGTCACAGGGCTGACAGACACACACACTAGAATCACCATTCAACCTAAGCTGCATGTCTTTGGATTGTGGCAGGAAGCTGGAGTACCTGGAGAGAGCCCACACAGGTACAGGGTGAACATGCACATTCCACACAGAAAGGCTCCGGGTTGGCCCAGGCTTGAACCCGGAACCTTCTTGCTGTGAGGCAACAGCACTAATCACTGTTCCACCATAAAGTGAAAATGTCAAAAGTTTTTCAATCACTGAACCATTAATTAACAAAACACAATCTGCTCATTTGTATTAGGATAAACTATTAAACAATGGACCACTTTTCTAAGATTTTCCCTATATTTGTGTGTACAGAAAGTAAAGATTCAAATCACCTCCCTGCTGCTGACCCCCTGCTACCTCTTTGCTACTCTCCTCATCATCACAAACAGTAGCTTAAACAAGTTAATTATTCTTACTGTCTTTATGGCATCAGCCAGCAAACCCATTTTGTGTTTCTGCCCCTCCTGTTCTGCACTGCTGATCAGCGGGTTTCTTTTTTTTCTCCATGTATTGTTTGGTGGCTCACACAACAAACTGCTTGAGTTCTAGATACTTTGCAGTTATGATGGAAAATGCACTCATTACTCAGTGTTGATGCAGCTAAGATGGCCTACTAATTCTAGGCTGTACAATATCTGGGGTTTGGGGAGAGAAACAGACCACCTGTCATTATTTTTCATGATCTATGTTTTGTAATGATAATAACTACAAAATCAAATTGCCACTTTGTCCAACTAGATTATATTGAGTGTTTTACTCTGCTAATCTAGCAGGTATTCAGGCACCTTTCCCATCCTCCTCACTGTGTGTCTAGTGGTGGTCTAAAGATAGCAGTTGGATGGAGGGACTTTGAATCCCTCAGAACCGTGGAAGTTGGACTACGCATTAATTGCCAGCAAGGGAAATGTCAGGTGCTTTTAGCTGTCGTCATAAATGGTAGATGTAAAAACTGGTGAAGTGGGGGCACTGGAGCCGCTGAGAGTTCCATTCAAATGGCTTATGAAACAGAAGCCTCTAATTACTGCACTACTCTCCCAAAATACAGTCAACACCCACCTTCCCCTGCCACAGCAACTGGTGGTAAGGACAGATAGAGTGGGAGTTTTATTAAATCTACCTACAGAGTGAAAGCACTCAGTCAGCAACAGCTCTTTATAGAGAGAGGCAACACCTCGCAGTGCACTCTAGTTGGTATAGGAAGAGACAGCAGTGTGAGTGTGTAATACTGTTATCCTACAATACATCCTCAGTAAAACATCAGTTGAAAAGCATATGTAATGGCAAAAACACAATCAGACAAAAACATAATTTTACAGCTACAGATAGTCCCCCAACTCGAAAGCCATGTTAGGCTGCACTTGAATACTGTAAGTTAAATACAAACACATCTGAGTTTAGCATGCTAGTGTTTTCCAATTGGAACTAAACTCAAAGTACATCTGAGCCTGATATGCATGGTAGAATTTTATTTTAAAGAAAGGGAGCTTGAAGATCAAAGATTTATGTTAAATTGATGAACAACCAGAACCAGGAAGACATAAAGGATGTGATGAGTATAAGCAATACAGTATACTCAGCTTTCACTGTATTAGTAGCCGGTGCATCAGGATTGGTGTTACATGATCAAACCCTTAGATCTTGTAAGAACGTTGGCAACTGTGCAGCCCTTTTGTTGCCATTTCATCCTTTTCTTCTTCCCAGAGGTCTACTGCTTCCTTTGCCATCAATCCAGGCATGACAGGGGAATACAAGTTTGCCATCAACTCTTCCCTGTACTCTTCTTCCTGCACTGGGATACTTTCTGTCATGGGTGCATTTTCCTTTGGATCAAGCAACACATTCCCATCTTCTTCTGGCCTGTTTGTTGTCTCCCCAGGCTTTGCATTCTTGAATAGTGAGCATTCCAGTATCTCCTGAAGGTATTCTTGTTCCTGTGGGACTTCTATTTGCAAAGAGACAATCTGTCTTATAGCTTCCTGCAGCTCTTCCTGTAAGATTAATTCTGCCACCGGATCTGAAAAGGCCACGGCTGTCTCAGTGACCTTTGACCCTTCATTACCACCTCCTTTGGCTTCTTCCAGGCTCTCCCTGGGCCTCATTTTTACAGCTTCACTGACAAACTAAATCTAACTGTAAAAGTTGGCTGTTGGTTTGACATTTAGCATGGCACTGAAGTAAAAGGTAGGAGTGCTCAGAGGAGAGAGAGAGACATCCTTACCAGTAATATCTTTCTTGATCAGCTCAGTCTTTGCAATAAAAATATAAGTAACTTAAGTCTGTTTTGTAAAAGAGGAAACCAGTGTATAGCACTCATTAGGTTGATTCAGCTTGGTGGACAGTAGAATTCTTCTGTAATAATAATCACTCTGGCTTGGCTTCCACCACCTTCTGAGGAACAATATGTAATAAAAATACATAAATATTTTAGGGATTTTTTTTTTTGCCTTGCAGAAAATAGCTGCCTGCTGGGTTTGGAAATGATAGTGATGACAATGGTGTTTACAAGTATGAAAATCAAAACAGTGAGCTGAAAGAGGCTGAGCAGCCACAAAGACAAGAGAGGGCTGGCGGAGTTGATGATAATTCTTTATGAGCCTCTCATTATAAACAGTGTCTTTCAATTTACACAGTCATTTGATTCATTGATTAATATAATACATAATAATGAATGCAGATTTCTCTGTTATCTTCTGTTGAAATGACCTAGTTTGGTCAGAATGGTTAAATCAAGCTGTACAATGTAAGTGAACCTCCCATGAGTTTGCAGTTTGGAAAGTTATTTTGAGAAACTGAACACTAAATATCAGTACAATACTGCATGTTGTAATGCAGGGTTTGGCAAACAACACAATATTAATTTTCTTATTTGTGTTATGCAGAAATTAGAGCACTTTCCATCTTTGTCCCTGGAAACAATTTCATGTTTCCTTGACTGTTTTTTTAAATGTTTTTTTTCACAGTCATTTGAACTTTTGGATAAGAAGACAGACAGCTCCGCCAATAAGTCAGTGGGACTTTTAACTCACTGAGTGAGTTGTTTCTCAAGATGAAAACCCATTCAGCCCCCTCAACTCAAAGTCCAAACTAAACCCTATACTCCAACATGATTCTGTTCATTCCTGACATCTAATTATTAGGCTACTGCATGGTAATATTCTGTGCTTTAGTTCTGTTTTTATTGATATACATAAAATAAACATTTCTTCTTTTCAGTGATTTGAACACCCTCAGTTATTATTAAAGCAGTTATAAAAGCAATACCTTTAGAGATGTAAAAGAACAACCCCTTAAGTTTGAGGATTTACTTTAAAAGGTCAAAGAATGAGATGACATTACCTGGTGAAATTCTTATTAGTTAAGAAACCACTAAAAGCTACTACAAGTATTTTGGGGGTCAAGTGTGCGATGTGGATACACTTTTTGTCTATATACACAGTTTTATTGCAATTTAATATATTGTAAATTGTGATATAGTCAGCATTTATCAGCAGGAGGTTGGACAATAACCTTCACATCAATGTGGGGAAGACAAAGGAGCTGGTCATGGACCCCCCCCCACTTCATTGGAGGAGCTGCTGTAGAAATGGTCCACAGTTTCAAATACCTTGGAGTCCACATCTTGAGGGACTTGACATGGACCATCAACACCTCCAGCATAATAAAAAAAAGGCACATCAATGCCTTTTTTTTCTCAGGAGGCTGAGGCAGGCCAAAATTCAATACTGTGTGACCACAACTTCACATTCTCTACATTACCAGTTACATTTGGTCAGTGATACAGTGCATAAAGGTTATCCTGCTGCTAATACAGCATGATAAGTCCTCGGTTCTCTGGTAACTTTACTAGATCATGTTTCAGATCATCTGAGAAAATAAAAAGATACTGATAGACTGTCAAATGTTATAGGATTGTAGTAGACACATTGGAGTATTAACAGCAAATTAAAATGCTACATTTGGCTCACTATTAGTAATTGAACTGCATGCACACAGCCTGCTGCCAATAATCCAGTCTCCCTGACAGATTACACGTTGAACCAACTGAGAAGATAAAGACACTGTCAAAATTTCAGCCAGACTATAAATAGATTTGCACATTTGACTTATCTCTTTTATACAGTATTGCTATGTAATGGGTGAATGAGGCTCAAATATAAACTGCTACATCTCTTCAGTTTTCACTGCTGCATCTCATCCAGATACGAGTTCACTGGTCTATGTGGGGAAAGTGGCGGTGGGGGGGCAGTGGGTGCTGCAGACACATTTGCATACATTTGAATATTCATGGATCATGGAATGCACAGTGAGGGGCAAATGTTTAGGCTTATTACAGAGGTTCACTGAAGTTCTTTGTTTTTTTAGGAAAAACTGTGTTAGACTATACACTCACCAGCCACTTTATTAGGTACACCTGTACAATTGTATGCTATTCAGTGCAACACTTCCACCTTAACATCTGTTTATAATGTTCAAAATGTTTCAGTTTTTGGTGACATTGTCATAAATGTATAAATTCAATTATATGTTTATTATTGAGGTCATAATTAAAAGTGGTGTTGTACTGGACTACATTAGATTCAGAGGTGTCTCTATGTTTTTGTCCTCCCCAGCTACATACATAAGAGGGTCAGAATATTAGGAACAATAAAATTGTGCAGGTATACCTAATAAAGTGGCCAGCGAGTGTATTGTTCAAAATGTTTCAGTTTTTGGTGACATTGTCATAAATGTATAAATTCAATTATATGTTTATTATTGAGGTCATAATTAAAAGTGGTGTTGTACTGGACTACATTAGATTCAGAGGTGTCTCTATGTTTTTGTCCTCCCCAGCTACATACATAAGAGGGTCAGAATATTAGGAACAATAAAATTGTGCAGGTATACCTAATAAAGTGGCCAGCGAGTGTATATTGTTTATAACAAAATATTTTTTATATGCAAATATAAATATGAAACTTATTTGAAAACTGATAAATCAGTATTAATAATTTAATTACTAAAAAATAAATGCCACTCAGTGATAAATCCAGGGACAATGATCCCCAACTGTGTAGTTCCCCGATTACTTTTACAGAGTATTTTAGCAACGTTTAGGTCATTGTTTTGGTTCAATCCGGTGCTCTTATAACTGATTTCTGTGAAAAAGCTCTGATAAAATCACTGTACACTACCTGCTCAGCACCAAACAATAGTCACAGTTTGAGAGTAGCTGATAAACACAGGGGAGCATTTAACAGCTAAAGAACCAGATATTTTTCTCAGGAGTTGATGGACCCCTAAACGAGAAAAGCCGAAAGTGACTTTCTTAGTGGGTGTTAAAGACTGGTGCATGGCTGGGTAAAGCGGTAAGGAATGTTAACATGTAAATGTTCCAAGCTTGAACACATTTCATAATAAAAGCATATTTTAAAAAAATTCTCACAGTCCACCAGCAATTGAAAGCAGTGGGTGGCAGCAGGAGCCTGGAAGGGAAGGTGTTGACCTAACATTACCTCAGTTGTGCTTCATGCCGTCAGGAACCTGTTTCCTCAATGCCATCCTGATGTAACAGAAATGTTTCCTGCGACTCTCATTACTCACACAGAGTGCACACAGTAGCCACACAGAGGCTTGCTACTGTCACAGAGAGGAAGGCCCTGGACTCCTAGGGCACAGCTATTTAAAATTAGCCTTAGGCTCCAGTTATGACAAGGAGTTTCAGGGCAGCATTTACTATAATGCAGCTTGATCATCTTAAAGGATGACAGGCAGACACCTACTGTATCTTCCAGAGCAACCTAACGCAATGCATTCATATACTTTTACATTATCCAGATAAATTACTGTTGTCCCAAACAGGGATTTGCCTTCTATGGTTGAAGAAGTAAAATATGTGAATTCTGACATTTCACTGGTTGGTGGACTTATTTTTACTTAAACTCGTACTATCCTGTTTTCACTCAACAAGGTATGACATCAGCAAGTGCTTTTGCCAAAAATAGTCATTTCAATAAGGGTGAGTAGTGTTGTCAGTTTCTAAGCAACAAATACACACACACATCACAGGGCGCGCACGCACACGCGTCATTTCCTATACACAGGTTTGAGAGCATCCAGAATTCAGCACTGCCTGCCAGCTGCGCGCAAAGAAGGCTCCGTCGTAGCAACCCGACAGACTCTGGAGTTTGTGGACAGAATGCACACGGTGACGGTCATGTCATTTTAAGGTACCATGATTTACAATAATAAAGGGAACCTTCCACGGAGTTAATCTGCCGGGTTTCATATATTACACAGGACAACAGTTGAATCACCGAGGCTCTTCTCGGTGAAGGCAGCGGTAAAGCTTTTCTTGGGTATGGAATAAAGCTCCAGAAGAATGTGACTGGGAAATGGTTTGTTTCGGACTAACTTGTCGTGTACGGTGCACATCAATGCCGTTACGCGTATAGATCACCGGTCACATGTTGAAGTTACCCGATGTGTGCCGCTGGTTCAGTTTTTAGTTTCAAACAGCGCTTTATTGAATACGGATGTATACACTGTTTCTCCGTTATGTTGTAGGATGAGCGCTGATTTGGAGCGCGTTTCGCTCAACACATCCGTGAACTCGGCCGGGTCGGGTGGCCGTGCACTCTCGGCAAACGTCCGGAGGCTCCACGGCGCTCTCAACTTGCTGCTCAGCGCTCTGGAGAGAGAGCAGTTCATCCATTGTATTAATGTGTACCACGCCAAGCGCAACGTTTTCGACCTGGTCCAAACTCTCAAAGTGATTCTTAACACACCCAGCAAACGACAGCTGCTGCCCATGCTGCGCCTGGTCATCCCGAGGTCCGACCAGCTTCTGTTTGACCAATACACATCCGAGGGACTCTACCTGAAGACAGACCTGCTCCCCAGCGACGGCAGCGTGGAGGACTTTGGAGATGAGGGCGACCCAACTCTACAAAAATATGTCAGTTCCATTCAGGAGCAGTCCCTCACCTCGGGCTGTCTGGACAGTTACAGTACCGCCGCCGAGCTGTCGGCTTCTATAGCCCTGCCTGTCCTCCAGAGCCCATTTACAGAGGTGCGAAAAGTCACCCTGACACGCTCCAGGAGCTACGAAGGTCTGGGCTTCAGCATCCGCGGGGGGTCGGAGCACGGCGTGGGGATATACGTGTCCCTAGTGGAACCGGGTTCATCAGCAGAGAGGGAAGGACTGAGATTCGGGGACCAGATAGTGACCGTGAACGACATGATGTTCAACGATGTCACTCACACAGACGCTGTGAAGGTAGGATTTTATGCTTGCGTGCAGGAGTTTGAGGCGTCAGTTTCTAAAACAGCTGCAGGAGAATCTCCATGAGACAGAGTCCTGTAATTGTGTGACAGCCTTAGCCTCTGGTAGTTTTATAGTGTGTGTTCAAAACAGTGTTGGGGAGTAACATGTAACAAGTTAGTGTAATTAAGTTACTAAATAAATGTGATTGTAATTAGATACAGCTACTGAGAAAAAAATGTAATTAAATTACAGTTACTAATCAAAATGTTGGTGATTATAAAGGGGTTACATCTGCAGATCCCATTCTGACAACAGAGCTTAGAATCATATTCATTTGGTTGCATTGGATCTTTTCATCATGCACTTTTTTTTGCATATTTCTGGACAACACAGGTCAACAAAACATATCTAACTACAACACCATTATGGGTAGGATGGCACACAAAGAGCTAGATACACTGGGCTCCATTCATTTAGCATTACATTGTGAACGTAGCTTTTGATTGGTTCTCTTGTTTGACTTGCACCACCTCTCGTCTTTCAAACTAATCAATGCACATTGCTCTAAGCAATCTGCAGCCTGCCTACACCAGCTGACCACACCAAGGCGGGTGGTCATATTGTCAGACAAGAGCCCTTTTCAGTGCTGGAAGTTCAACAGTATTTTCCTTGTGAAATCAGAGCAGGCCCGTTCAGTAGGCTTCATGTTTCACGATATATTATGTCGCTCACATAAGAACAGTTAGTAAAATTTTCACAGTAGTAAGTGCTGAGTACTGTTTGTGAGGTTTACGCAAATTTATGTTAGGAATTTTCAGCTTTATTGCCCAGTTTAAAACTTTTAAAAGAAAAGTAATCAAAAAGTATTTAAAAGTAATGTTTTATTACTTTGATGATGTCGTTACTTATTACAGTTTTAATAGGGTAACTAGTATTCTGTCACCTGTTACATTTTGAAAGTAACCTTCCCAACACAGGTGTTCAAGAAGTAAACACGGCTTTAGGCAGAGAGAACATGTACTACTACAAATGCAGGGCTGCCCTAAAAACAACAGTAGTTTGCGACAGCGCTGCTTCCTCTGCGTGTCCTCAGTTGGACAGACCACATACAGCTCCTGTTGTTGTTCTTACAGTCCAACTACATCTTTTAATAGTACTATCAGTTTACCACATGTATGACAAAATTTAGCATCAAATCTTCACATTTGCAAAGCTGGAACCAAGCTGGACTGCGGCTAATAAAAATGACATAGTTGCCAGTGAATTTTTTGTTGGTGGATTAATCAGTTAATTGACTCATTGTTCTAATGAAATTTACTATGAATGAGCAATATGGAGCTTTGGTTTGAATTCTCTTAATTTGGTTTGAATTAACTGACAGCATTGTATGTGCAGATAACAGAGGTAATGCACCTACAGTAGCTATTGAGATGAACACACACTGTGCAGATTTGGCCCAAATTTAGACCCAAGTCAGTCATGCCTAACTACTTTTACAGTCGGGCCGAATTTCAGCCCGATCCGTTGTAGTTTGACATACAGTGGGAGCAGGGTCGTGGTGCCAGATCAGTCACCTGAACAACCAACGATCTGCCTCCCAACCACTTGGATGGGTTTCTGGCATGTAAGAAATCTGGTTGGCAGTGTTGCAGATCCACAGTTTGAACTTTGTTCAGCACACTTGAATGAGTACAAAGACAACAACATAACAACATGGCCCAGATGAGATATAACATGTTGTGGACAGAATCAACTGCAACGAGGCCATAGACTGCATATATTTATAAACTGTACATAGACGAGGCTAATCAAGCTCTGGCAGCACCACACTGTACAATGTGTCGTCAAAATGTGGTCATGATCTGCAGCAAGAGGGAAAATACTCACAGCAGATTAGCACTGTTCATCAGCTGCACACAGTTACTGTAACTGGCTAAAAGGAACACTGTTTTTCTTTTGGCTGGCCTAAACCTTACTGGAGTTGTCAGTGAACAAATTTGCTCCAGGGTTCTGTTTAAACATCCAGTGTGAGCCATCACATCGTGCCTGACTGAGTGACTGTACAGTGAAGTCACAGATTCTGGCCGTGATGTCAGGCCAATTTAAAAATATAGCTTGAGTTAACACATTCACACAAAGTCGTCCAGTGTCTGCTTTGCTTTAGACAATTACATACCATAATGGACTTTAGTATCAGAAGGTCGAGCATGTAATTAACTGATCACTTCACCCAAAAAAATAATCAAAATACACTTACTTCTAGTCCTTTCTAGCTATGGAAACAGTTTTGGTTTGTTTAAGTTTAGCTTGTTCTCTACCTTCACCCCAATACAAAAGAGGTGAAAGGAATTTCATACCGCATAGAAAAGGGTAATATGTCTTTCTAGAGACAATGTCCAAATAACTGTTAATATATCACAGGACATTTTCAGTGGAGATTATACCTCTATGGAAAGCATATCCCAAATGATAGGCAAAGTATGTGTTTTTGTAATTTAAAAGTAAAAATCTTATCTTTTTGTCAAGATTACATATCTGCACCCTCTTGTAAGCAAATTTGAGGAGGACCTGGAATGCAGACAATCCATAGTAAAAATGTGTTTTTTCCCTTGATGAGATCACCAGGGAAGAAACCTGAGACTTGAAGTTCAGCCAACTACACCTGACACCTTCTTGCAACCAGCCACTGTGACTGCATCTGATTTTACCATTCCTTCATGTAATAATGAAAAGCGATCACTGGTCGTATCTTGATGCTGTCCAATATTTATCAAACTGGAAATTAGCATACAGCACATTTCATACAGTATCTGTTCTGAGTGAGAACAGTCTTATCTCTTCAGGTCCTATCACTCCTATCACTTCAGGTCTCTCTACTGATGTTCTATGGGGTTTAAAGTTTGGGCTTTGTCTGGACCCCTTAATACTAGCCAGAGACTTGTCCTGAAGTCACTTTACTGTTGTCTTGACCTGACTGACCTGCTGAGGCAGATGTCTTTCCGGCAGGTTCTCCACCTCAGCAGAGCAGTTGTTCTCAAATATTTTCTGTCATTCCCCACTTAGAGGGTGGGTGAATTTTCAAGCCCCACTTGTCAACAAAATGATAATGAAATCGGCCAGTTTCAAATGTATTGAAATATCAAATAACACCAAGTTCAAAACAGATAAAATATAAGTGCAACTGTATTGTTTGACAGAGGGATAGTTTTCAATTTTGCAGCACTTGTTTCACCCAGCATAACTGACACCATGTCTACAGGAGCAGGGAGAATGAGCTGCTCAGCAATTGTGTGTTTTTTTTGCACTGGGCAATTCTGTAGGCAACTTTGAATGAAGCCATTTGTGCTTTGCTGTTCACTGATGTGGATTTTACCATGTAATTTTTCTGCTAACGGTATGCTTTCAAAGATGTCGAGTGGCTTATTAACGTGACTGGGGTGTGTTGTCTCTAAATGTCTTCTTAATTTGTTGGGTCTCATGCTGTCTGCTGCCAGCAGTTTAAGACACAAGACACACATGGGTCCCTCCTCTGCCCCCACCATTCCCACCGTGAATCCTTCATCATATTTCCTTTTCAGATGGCTTTTTGGTTGATAAGGCTACTGCCTGTTGTTTTTTATGTCTGCTTGCGCTGAATTGCCTGCTCTTTTGTGGTTCATGTAACAAATTTATCCATTTACGTTATTATGCCTACTGCCCTCTGTGTGAATGCTTCCTTATATTATTGCGCTGCAGTTAACATGCCGACGTTAAATGTTGTTGCTCTATGGTTCCACTTTTTTCTCCCGGCCCCGACCTGAGGCCAATGGAATGCTGACATACCAAATTAAGATGGTGTGCATGGTAAACATTAGCCCTGCTAAACATCAGCATCTCATTGTTACAATGAGCATGTTAGCAGTTGGTCAATATATCCTCGCTTTAAGTTACTAGTGTGGGTCAAGCTCCAAAAATCCTGGATCCTACGCTCGCCATAATGGTAGCATTTTTCAGTTATACCCCCTCTGCTAAGTAAATTTACAGCAGAAAGGGTTTTCTAATCTCATTTCTAAGTGTGTAGTTTCCAAGGCCACACTGAGATACAGTATGTCAAACTATGTTATAGTTTTTATATCAGACGTGACTGACTGACTATTTAACAAATGTCAAATTGGGTCCTGTCATTCTCTGTTAGTTTAATACCGCCGTAAGTGCCTCTTTACAAACTGATGAGAAATTTAACTCAGCTGTTATGTGATCATAGTTTGTGCTTTCTCTTAATCCCAGATACTCTGTCCATACACAGACGTACTATGTACAACTACTGTTAGTGTTTCAATGGTGTATACAAAATAGACCTGGTCTGGTTAAAAAAAAAAAAAAATCCTAATGCTTAATTAACCTCTTCCTCCTCCATCCATTCAGGTATACGTGCAGCAGCCAGGGGCTCTTTGTGCAGAAATCCCACAGTGCAGAAGAAAACAGACCTCTAGACTTGATGCTATTTATACAACAGCAATTTCAAAGGCTAAGACCTTCATTCAGAGCCACTGCAAAGAGTAAAAATGAATATAAAGACTTAAAGTAAAACATAGTAGCAAAGTAAGAGGACTCATATCCAAATGAATCAAAGTTAGAAGTCTGTCTTGTGTTTTATGGAGCTGTTTGATGACTAAAATAGCATTCAAGAGGAGAGCTACTTTAACCTGCTAAACATGTACCGACAGGCGAACCATTTCTGTTGTCACTTTAGGGTAAAATGCAGACCTAACAGGAATGGAATATGTCATTTTACATTTCCATATCCACCACCTGCACTCACCCATGCTCACTGTGATTAGGAGGATAATTATGCAACATGCAGTTTAGCTTTTCAGAGCTGACTTCTTATAGACCCTAGCAACCTGAAAACTGTTATTAATAATGGCTTAAAATAGATCTATAAAGCGCTGTAAATGATTTATTAACATGAATATAGTCTTTAGGTACAACCTATATAGTAAATAATAAGGACGTGGTTATGATTCTTTTTT